AGGTTTACCCTGAAACCTTCCTGGTCTGAGCAGCCCAAAGGAGAAGGGGGAAAGTCATATAATTTTTCAGCAATGATAATGATAAAATAATTAATAGACTTTGCAGATATTTAAAGCTTTCCTGCTAAGTTCTTGAGGTTCTTAACAAATAATCAATTAAAGCCTTCTGAGATTAGTGAGCATTATTATCTCTGTTTTATGGATTAGGTGACTGTGGTACAAAGGGATTAAACTCCGAGCCCCATATCGCCCGCCCGGGTCAGGCCTCCTCCTGCCCCATGCTGCTCTAGGTGCTGCAGGAGCAGGTTCTGGAGCACTTTTTAGGATGACACATTGGACACAGTTGGTGGCAAGCTTGGCTGTTTGGAGTCTGTTCTTTTATCCATTAGTTAATACCTTCACCTCTTTTAACCTGATTTCTCAGGACGGTTGTAGCCAATCCCAGTGTTGAAGTCGTATATACAAAGGTAATAATGCTACTACAACACTGGGAGGAAAAAGCTGGGGATTATATACGGCGTTTAGGAGCCTTTGCTGCAGTGCTGAGACCCATCTAGCAGACAATAGGAGTGCATTTCTCCAAAAAATAATGATGTAGCTGAGGACTTGGTTAAGAGTCAACAATGATGCCATTGCTAGCGCCTTCCTCAGTCAGCACACATGGAGCAGAGAGTGCTTCAGAGAAACAGTGCTTTACATGTAGCTTCTTTAAAGCTTGAGGTGTGGGACCTCCACAAAACTTCTTACAAATGATCCACCAGGATTAGTAATTGTCTTCAGCTTTCTTAATTGCTGTGACCTGGTGTAAGGAGGGAAGGAAATCAGAGCTCCCTGGGGGCACCTGTGAGCCCCACTTCACTGAGCAAGAAGAGCCCGTGCCATTGGTCAGTAGTGGCTTCAGCTGTGGCTGGTGCCTGCTGCTGGGGAGGTTGGAGCTGTGCTTTCATCCTATCCTACCACAAAGTGTCAGCCCAGGGACAAGTGTTGGAAAAGGATTGGTGGTGGCAGGAGATGGTGGAGCGTGCATTTGAGAGGTAAGGAGTCTGAAAGCAGGTGTCCCTCCAGCTGCAGGGTGGTCAAGAAGACCAAGTGTTGGGCAGTGAAGGGGTGAATGTGTGTTCTGAGGTGGAGCAAGAGGCAAGATTTGTGTGTAGCTTGGGCCTTCTCCTCTGTAACCAATGGCAAACAGAAGTTGTGCATCTCTGCGTGCCGTGGTAGGAGTCTGTGGCTCTGCAGCAGCTGCTCTGGCTGGAGCCGGGTGGTGCCACCACCCTGTGGAGGGGGCTTGGCTGTGACCAGTGAGCTCTGCCAGGTCCCTCACCCCAAAGGAGACTTTCTGGGGATGAGGCACCTCCTGCTCTGAGCTGTGTGTGTCCGATTAGAGACACCTCTCACCTCCTGAGCCCTGACAAACTACCTCTGGGCCCAGCGTTTAACCTTCGGCACGGCTGCTCCGCGGAAGTGAACTTTCTTGTTGAACTCATTACACCACAAAAGGGGTTGTTCGACACATGCTTTAGTTAGCAAGCCGGTGTCTCCAGGAGATTTAGGGGCAATGTGGCAACTCTCTCTTGTGAAAGATACATTGGAAATACCCCCAAGTTTTTGGTGCCAAATGTAGCAGAGATGACGCTTTGTTTCGTTTGGGTTTTTTTCCTCCTCCAACAGACACTCTGTTTTCTGTCCCTCTGACTCTTTTCTTAAATAACTTCTTCTGCCTCTCTCTTTATGTGGAGGCGAAAGGTGATGCTTGCTCTGCTCCAGAAATGCAGTCCATTTAGCGAGGAATCTAAGATGTTCAAGACAAAGCACCTGTGCCCCAGGTTTCCTTTTGGGCAAATTGAAAGGGAGAGCATATGTTCTGTTTTGCAGTGAAAATTACACGATTTTTATTTCTGAAGAGGTCTCATTAACACCTAATTTCCAGGTAAAGGAGCAACTTGTTTTTCCTTCCTTTTTGAACACTGAATGAGGGTTATTTCATAACTATTTTCCATAACGTGCTTGAGCCTGCAGGTTCCATGACTTCTTTCATAACTCACCTCCACCCATCTCTTTGTCTGTGTTGTAAATTCAAGCAGTTGCTACCAGCCTCCTTTTTTTCTTTTCAATATTTTAATATTGCATCTAATATTTAACAAGCATAGAAATGATGAAAATGCTACTGTAATATGTTTCATAGGACTGTGAGTTGCATTTAGGCTGCTAAGAATCCTTGTTTGAAACAAAGATTGGTGGTGGTTTTGTGTCGGGCTGTTTGGTTTTTAAACCAAAACAAGAACCACTCCAATAACACTGAAGGGACTTTAAGAGGCTTTATGCTTTGCAGGTCTAGGTGCTAATAAACACAAGAACCCTGTTCTCAGTACACTTTAAAGAAAAACAAGATTACAGTTTCTTTCACAGCTGCCTTAGTTTGGAGGCCAGAGTTTTAGAAAAGCGCCTTCTGCTTTCAAACACCAGAATGGGATTCCATCAGGGCAGCTCCTCTGCGGGAGCATGGGGCGAGGGCCGGGAGGGGAAGCTTAGGGAAGAAAGTGCTACTTAAAGTAAATGCTAATGATTTAAAATGTTATTCCTTCTGTGCTTTTAGTGAGAAGGAAAAAAAAAAAGGGGGGGGGGGAGGAAAAAAAGTAATAAAGGCTCCCAGCCTGTACCTCATCTCCAGTCACTCCCGTGAAATTCCCAGGAGAGCATCCAGGCTCCCCTCTCCCCCTCTTTAAAAATGGTGGACCTGGAACCACTTACAAGAGAGGCTTAATAAGAGGCAAATGTGTTTTATATTTTGTATCTTGTTAAGTGAAAAAAGATGGATTCGCACAAGTAGTCTCCTGGTGCAGATTTGAGTGGTCTATGCATGCAAATGTTGTGATGCTTCGTCTGCTCGCATCCCGTTCCAGTCCCCCTTGGCCACTTAAAATCCCACCCCCCAGAGCAAGCAGAGATGAAATTGCTTCATTTGTACAATGGATCTGCAGATCTAGGAAACTTGTTTCTATCTGATTTGCTGATAATTTACTCTTCATTTGATTTTTTTTTTTTTTTCTTTTTTTTTCCCTCCCCCTTAGAAAGAAAACAGTGTCTCAGCTCATATCTCTAAGGGAGGAATTGTTTCACTGGGCTGAGAGCATGGTTGAAAGCAATGGGGAAAAAATTAAAAATACCTACACAAAGATGGCACATTTATTAGAGGGCAAGAAAACCCCTTTGCATCAGAAAACGAATAGTAAAATTCTTAATTTATGTTCCTGATTGCTGAAAAATCTGCTAGAAAAATCTAACTTTTGAGAATATACAGTATTTTCTGTGAAGGTGTGTGTTGAACCGCAAGACACATTCCCCCCTCTGATAATCATTTTTATGACCTTTTGGTGCAGGATAATGCTGTGCTTACTGTCTGCTTTCACTATTCAGTGTTGAGGAAACACATTATATTTGTCTTTGATCCAGAGATCCGGATTGCTAAAACTGATGGCCACAATTAAAGACAGTCCTGTTGAAAACCTGACCTCTGCCTGCTCTCAGCTTCATGTAAACTTTTCAATATGGATGTAATTTAGTATTAAATTACCCGTGCTTTATTGCTTTTTAGCACAGCTCTGTCCTGTTGCCTTTTAAAAATATAAAGAGTAACATAAAAGAAAAATTGCAGTGCATCTGCTTAGTTTTGTAATGATATAGTTGTTTTCCGACATTTAGAGACCTTTCTGGATGTGCTGTCTCTAGAAAAGCCATGATACTTGGGGTGGATTACTTGGAGCATGTCAGGGACAAAACCTGTAACTGTAGTCGAGAGTTTTGCTGTCCTGAAGAGCTTGCTTTGATGTGTGCCCTTTTCTTCAGGGCAGACCCATAAGCCCAGGAGTTCTTTTTCCCAGACCTTAAACATGACATCAGCCTGTGATTTTCACTCTGTGGTCTTGTAGACTTTCTGTTTGAATGAGGACTAAACTCCTTAGCTTTAGGAGATCATGGAAATCACAGACAATGTGATTGGAAGGGACTAGGAGGCATCAACTCATCTCTCACCACTTCTAAAAAACAAAAAAAGAAGTGGAATTTCGTGACCGGGAGTCTGCGGGCTCCTGTTATCCTGTGCCAGCTGCTACCGTGTCAGTGCTGGTGCCTCCGGCCGCGCTCGGTGGCAGTCGGGCGTCTCGGTCCTTGGCTGTCCCATCCAAACTTCCTCCACCTGCATCTCCTTAGCAAGGCATCCAGTGCCTGCTCCGTTGTGCTCGGGGATCCTGCCTGTGATCCTGAAATTATCATTTTCTTGAGGCTGTGACCTTCATGTGTGGCATAACACGTCCATTAGCAGACAAGAAAATTACTGTACATCCTAAAACCAGAACTGCAACTGCTCCTTTCTGCTCCCTGTGTCAGGGCTTCTCCAGCCGTTTGCGTGGTTGCTTGGTGTTTCTGGCCCTCTCTTCTTACTCCATTGCTTTAGAGTTTGTTTTGGGCTTTGTTTTGTGCATCACAATTACCATGGCCAGCCACAGTTGAGTCCATCTGCTCCTTCATAGGAGAGACCTCTGTACACCAGGTCCTTGGGCAAACACCATCAAACAGTTGCCTGTGCATTGATTTACTGGTTTTGCACCTCCTTAGGTTGAGAGATGATGGGCTGCCTGCTGGTTACAGTGCTGCTCACGGGCAAGGCAGCCTCTTCTCTGATCTTTCTAGAGATAGGCAACATCTTCTTTACAGAACATTGTTATCTGATAGGATAAAATGCATTTCTCTGCACTCGGTCAAGAGCTCCACTTCTATCTAGTAAACTGTATTGGAGGCTGCGTGTCAAACGCACTTAACCTTGCCCAAGAAGAGGCGGTGGTGGCATCCTCTGGGGTGCTACCCCACCGAATAAGGGGGGACTGCAGCTTCCTGGGAGCCCGTCCCTGCGAAGGCATGGCAGCGCGGGGCTGCTGCGGCACAACGGCCCCTGTGTGAGCGCCGCTGACATCTGTTTTCCCTCAGCCTGTAACACAAGGAGGAGGTTAAAGCGAAGGTGGGTTTTGCACTGCTGGAGCACATGTGGGAGATGGCGCTGGTCCAGGGGGCAGGGGGGGAGGAGGAGGAGGAGGAGGCTCCGCTCGGCTGGGAACCCGTGCGCCTCAGCATCGCTGAGGAGCTGGAGTGTGCTGTGAGAACGGGATCTCTCAGAGCCTTTATTATTTCACAAGTGTTTGTAAGCCTCTAGTGCCTTTTAAGTATAAAATAACTGGTGGGGAAATTCCTTTGCGAAACTCCTTGTGTCACTGTTGCTTTGGCCAGCTGGGATACACAAGATAAGGAACAGTCCAGGCAGGTCCCTTGGGTGGAGGCTGCGAGCACTGGCAAAAGCTCAAGGGGTGAATCATAGGGTCACAGGATGGTTTGGGTTGGTAGGGACCTTAAAGATGATCTCGTTCCAACCCCTGTGCCACCAGCAGGGGCACCTCCGACTAGACCAGGTTGCTCAAAGCCCCATCCAACCTGGCCTTCAGCACCTCCAGTGATGGAGCATCCACAACTTTCCTGAGCAAGCTGTTTCAGTGCCTTGCCACCCTCCTTGTGAAAAACTTCCTCCTAATTTCTAATCTGAATGTCCACTCTTCCAGTTTAAGTCCGTTGCCCCTTGTCCTATCACTACAAGCCCTTGCTTTGAAGACCAGTGAGACAGGAGGTGTTTTATTTTACTTTCAGAAATATTATGAGAACTGCAGGTTTCCTTACAGGCTCTGCCATGTTAAATATACTATTGAAAAATTTTCCTACCACAACCATTCAGGTACTAAAGTGAATAAATAAACAGGTATCAAAACACATCACCCCAGGGAGGTAAATGTGATTTATTAGAGACTTAAAATGTAAAATCATGAGGTTAAAAATCATAAAAAATGAATCTAACAGGTGCAGTAATGAAAGCAGAGTTAAGGATGTTTGCAGCCTAATCTAGTTGTATCTGTTGCCTTCACTCCCACACTGCCTTGCTTTGATCTGCTTCTCCTTTAAGAACAAATGCAGCTTTACCCAACTAATAATTTATTTATAACTTTTTTTTTGTAAAAATTGCATCCACCAAAAAAAAAAACCAAACCCACACACAGCATGCAATTTTATTGACTTCCATGCAAAAATATAGCTGCAGACTGTCCAGGAACTGCTGGGAGTACATTTTCTATCTTATCTAGCTTTCCTTACATATTTATTTTTGCCGAGGCTCATTTTGTGGGTTGAGAGCACTCACAACAACAGCAAAACCAAACAAATCACAGTCTACCCACAGGCGATTCCCCTGACCCCTCCAAGCTGTCGTTTGGGTGAGGGTCCATGGTGGTTTTGTCCAGCCGCGTGCCATCCATCTCCCCGCTGCTGCCTGTATCTGCTCGCAGCGGTTCCTCTGCCCGGCACACGCGGCACCCACAGGCAGGGACCAAGAAGCAATATGCAACTGTGACAGCTCGAAAATACAATTATCTCCCTTGCTGAGACCCAGATAAGGTCTGTATTTCCCAGGAGAGCGAAACTATGAATGGCTTCCAATGGGAAGGTGCTTCTAGAAGCTTCAATGGCCATTAGTGCCAGATACCCCCCTCCTGTCGCGGTGCTGGGCACGACCGCGGTGGCGTTGGCAGCATCCTGCACCGCCTGATGGCGATGTGAGGAGGCATGGAAAGCTAATTAAGCTGAGGAGCAAGAGATTCACAGATTCACAGAATGTTAGGGGTTGGAAGGGACCTCAACAGATCATCTAGTCCAACCCCCCTGCCAGAGCAGGATCGCCTAGAAAAAAACCCTTTGCTGGCCCTTTTTCCCAGCTAAAAATGGTGTTGAGGAAATGGAATTTTTCACCTAAATATCTGTCTTGATTGAAAATCTTTGACCTTTAACATGAAAAACAACAATGAATTTTTGAAAGTGCATTTTTTTTTTTCCTCATTTCTGTTTAAATTGAGCCAAACAATTATTTTTGTAAATGCAGTGGGTGTTTTTGTTTCCACATAAAAAAGGGAGAAAATGCTTTCTGACAAGCTTTAATAAAAAGGCAGTTAAGGGGATGTTTTCTCATGTGGATTCCATTTCCTGGGATGCTGAGCCCAGAAGTGCAGGACCTGCATTATCTGTGGGCTTTTCATCTGGAGCGTCTGTACGTGTAGCTCTGTAGCTGAGGGGAAGACAAGGGAGTGTTTTGAAGAGTAAAATCTACAACCATCTTAGTGGTGTGAAGGTGAAGTCGGTGTCCACATGAAGCTCAGAGGAGTGTTGGGGGGGTTTGGGGAGAGTGGGGTGCGGAGATGCCGCTTGGCACCTTGGGGCTCTGAGAGTGGACCGTGGGGCAGCGCTCAGCTGCCAGCCGGGAAACAGGCAGGGCTCTGAGACCGCTTCTGCAGGGGGTTGGTGCAGAATAACCCTTCCACGTCCTCCTGGGCATTTGGGACAATAAACGTGTGCCAGGCTGGAGGCGAGGAGCCAGGTGGTAAGAGGGGCTTGGCTGGCGCAGCGGGGAGGAGCTGGGGCTGGGGACCTGAGCTGGGAACGGGACAGCTCCGCGGCCGGCTCGGGATGCGCTTGCTCCTGTGTGGGCATCTGCAGCTCAGCTGGGCTGTGGCCCACCTCTGGGGGGCAACAGGGGCCGTTGGGGGTGACCCTTCCCTTTACCGGCTCCAGTGTGTGGCTGTCATTGCAAAGACCTGGGGGTTGGCAGAGTTTCTCCTTTGTCCTGGACATACGACTGAGCCGTGGCCTCTGCATCTTCCACGTGGTGTGCTTACAGAAGAAGGGGCTGCAGGAGGAGAACTTGTCTTTACGTACAGATATAATAGTTATCAATGCGATGCATATATCCAAATGTATATAATAAATATATACTTTTTTTACTTAAAAGAAAAGGGAACAAGAGCTGATGAGTTAGACACGTGCAGCCCTTTACCCGTGGACTGTTGTTCCTCTTGATTCCCTATAATTAGAAAATGAATTAATTCACAACTCATACGAGGTAATATTTGTTGGTAGTATTTTTTCAATTGTTACCATTAACTACTATAATTTTTGATTTTTTTTTTTTTGTATTGGTATAAATGTCTACTCCATTTCTGCATCTGTCTGTGTTCCTCTGCTTGGTGTGCTCAGTGTCAGGTAGTTCCCAAGTTTAATTTGCATTTGTGGAAAGAAAATCCCCTTACTGGTTTTGAATGTATCACCTTTTAATTTCATGGAGGATGCTCAGGTGCTCATGCTATAAGGTAGCCCAGAAGCAGCTGACCTGTAGATTATTCTTTATTCTTTTGTCTTAGATGCTCTTATTATGTCTCTTCTTATTTATTGCTTAAAGTAAAAAAAAATAGTGTCTTTCAGTGTCTGGTCATATGAGAGGTTTTCCATACCCCTAGTAATTTCTGATGGCTTGTTCTGATCACCTCTCATTGTGCAATGCTAATTTTGAAACAGGATGGTCACTACTATGCACTACACTCAATTACATGTTGCATGTGCTTTTCCTATGTTACCCAGCATCCTAATGTATTGGCTTTTCTGACTACGATATTTCAGCCTTATCCATCCTAACAGCCCAGCCTCATCAATTCTTGTCCTTGAGCCTGGCCAGAATGCAGCAGCTTCCAGCCCTGCCTGCCCCGTTACCCAGCCCTGTCACCTCCACCCTTGGAGTGTCTCCCCGGTGTCCTGCCACTCCGCTGCCCACTCGGAGCTCCCGTTGGCCCCCGATGTCTCCGTGCCTTCCTTGGCGTTTCCCCCACTCCTGGAAGCTTCTGCTCACTCCAGCACTCGCGTTGCTTCTCCTTTCTTCATTAAGTCTCTTCTAAGAAAGTTAGTTCTCTGGCAGGCCGTGTGGGCTCTGATCCATGCCACTGAGATACTTTCATCATCCGTCAGTGCTGAAGCAGAACTTAAAAATGATAAACTAAGTGTCTGATCCCACAAACAGTTACACGTGCGAGTCGTCTTGTTGACTTCAAAGGAACTGCTCACATGAGTAAAGTCATGTATTAAGATGTTTCCAGTAATGAGAATTCCTTAGGGTTTGAGGGTTGTGTTGTTGGTAGCACAGAACAGAATTTTGTGCCTCAATAAATAACTGCTCATTACGAGTCGAAGGGTTACTTAGCTGCTTTAAATTTAGATAGATGCCTACCGGTCTCTCCAAACTACTTGTAAATGCGAATCCTGCCAGCCCCGACGCCAGCAGTCAGAGCGAGCCATGCCCACGCTAGGGAGGGGCAGCCTGCCCTGGCTGGGCACGAGCACAGGAGGATGAGCAAGCTCAGAACTGTATTTATTGTCATCTGTCTTCATTTAAAGTGAGTCACTCCTGATTTGGGGTTATCAAAGAAAATGCAGATTCTTTCAGGAAGAAAACTGTTCAGTCTGGCCCCAGTCTGTCCCAGGAGGGCAGGGAGGACGTGTGAGCCCAATGTGGGGACCATCACTCCTAGCACCAGGCAGGTACCTCCTGGCACTCAGGGCACCTGCCCCATGTCCTGGTTTGAGCAGCCCTGGACCACGGCTCCCTACCTGGCTCCGGGAACAGTGCCCGTCTCCCCTGCCCGCTGTGGGTGGTCAGTGCTGGGGTGGCTGAGCTTCCCACGTGCACCATCAACGTGGCTGGAAAGTTGGAGCGGTCGCCAGCCAGAGCCATCCAGTGGTTCCTTCAGACTCTCATTCTGCCCTGGGCCAGCCACACAAGCATGCGCTGGAGGGTGGCAAGCGCTCGGTCCAGTGTCCATCTTCACAAAGGCAGTTTGTGGGGTGAAAGGTGGCAAAACCATCCCCATCAGCCCTGGGGCTGCAACACCCTTTGTCTCACTCTGCCAAATTCTGCCCTTGAAGGGAGGTGGGATTTGCTGGGGGTCCATGGAGCCCTGGAAACGCTGCTGGCCATTTGCTCGCCGTGCACGGGATAGCAGCACAGCCCTGCTCAGTCTGGCAGCCCCTGCGTGGGGGTGTCCCATGGGTGTGACACATGGCCTGTGACATGTGGCTGGTTTGTGCTGTTCTGTGCCGGGAGCAGCCAGCAGCACAATAACGGGGAGTATTTCTATCTGGGAGGGACTCAGAACCATAGAAACACAGACTGCTTTGAGTGGGAAGGGCCCTTTCAAGCTCACCTGGTCC